AGCTATAAATATTCATACACCCTAGTAAATAAATTGTTCTATTAGACGATTCGGTCATGCGGTGAATAAAACATTAGGTGGATGTTTAGTCAACATGCAATCTGTATAAAAATATTTGTAAACACATACAAGGTTTATATGAGTCATAGATTGTAAATTATTTACTATCACTACATAGTGTTAGGACAATTTTGCGAACATCATTACAAGTCATATGAAATTAGGTTATAGCTTGTATCACTTGCAGAATTAATTCTCACGGTCGATTTTTTATGAAGTTAATAAGTAGTGCTAATAATGAATAGTGACTAGAACCTTTCTTACCTTATATGTAATCCTGCGATAAAAATGGGACTTAAAAAGGCTATAAGGGTAATGAGCATAACGTTTTTTATCAGTAGTTTTATCCAAATTCATATGTTACAGGGACTTCGAATCTCCACCATCTCCCGAGATCGTCAGATCTAAACCTTCCTTAAGTGATCGTCGAATCTAAGGGGTTTAATTTCACCAGAAAAATGGCAAAATGCATTCAGTGTTTGGAACCTATGACCAAGCGGAGTTGCTTTATGTAGCAGGATCTAGATTGTGTTAGAGTAACATAATTACTAATCATATAATTTCTCTTTTAACAGGCTTTTTAGAACTAGCGAATGAATAGTATAAAAATAAGCAGTTCTAGCTTTTAAGGTGAGTAAACAATAACGTTATTTTTGTACGTATATTTTTTCGAAAAAAATGTCTGCAATGGAAGGAGAACTTTCAGTTAAACTCGGTAAATAAATTCTCACATTGACTTTATTAGTAAAAACACGATTAAGTAATAATACTTCATAGTGAGGTTGGATGACATTTACCTCGCTGTTCATGATGGAGATAATAAACATTTTGACGATGGTACACTAAGAAGTGGAGAATCCACTAAAACATTGTAAGTTGGATGATTCTCTAGTTATTTTTTCATATATATTATTTTTTTATTTTTTGTTGCTTTGTATAATTATAGGTCAATTCAAAAAAAAATTGGACAAGACCAAAGAAAAGGAACAGGTTAGCATTTAATAGTCGGCACGAATAATCCACCAATTAATCTTGATAATATTCTTGCAAACCCAGGACGTTCATACCAGCATACAGTAGGGGGGATACGATTAGAATTGGTATTTAATGAATCTGGAGAGTCTGGCTTTCAAGAAAATGCTGGTACTGGAAATATTTAAAAAATATTATTTAAAAATTTTTCTTATTTGTATATTGTTCCGGCAATATTATTTTTTATAATAATAAAGTGGGGGTCCCGTGGCCTCGCCATTTTTTATTTTAACATGATTGTGTGAATGGGTAGAAAAATTAGTCGAGATTTAAATTTATATAAATAGAGGTATAGCCGTGATGTGTTATGAAACAAAAATTTTATGAACTTACTTTTATTTCCATAATCGA